GTTTACTGTGGGAGTACTACACTCAACCAACACCAGGGAAGGCAGTTTTTGTCAGAGCCCTTGTTATTCGTAATTTTGACATTAATTTTAATTAACTTATTAAAATGTCCAGTTACAAAATCAGTAATATTTGTGAAATATTTTTACTATTTAAAATAACTGTTTTCTCTGTGAATATCTGTTAAACTGTAATTTAGTCCTGTGATTTCAAAGCTGAATTTTCAGCATCATTCCTCCAGTCTTCAGTGTCACATGATCATGTGAAAAATTATTATTAGAAATCATTCTAATAATGCTGATTTGCTGCTCAAGAAACATTTATTATTAATTATTATTATTATTATTATCATCAATATATTTAAAACAGTTTAGTACATATTTTTCAGGTTTCTTTGATGAATAGAAAGTTCAGAAGAACAGCATTTATCTGAAATAAAAAGCTTTTGTAACATTATACACTACCATTCGAAAGCTTGCAGTCAGTATAATTATTTTATTTTATTCATTTTTTTTTGAAAGGGGATGAAGAAATCATAGAAATTAATACTTTTATTTAGCAAGGATGCTTTAAATTGATCAAAAGTTTTGATAAGGACATTTATAATGTCACAAAAGATTTGTATTTCAGATAAATACTGTTCTTCTGAACTTTCTGTTCATCAAAGAAACCCCTAGAGGACGCAGTTCGAAGTTCCCTTGAAAAGGAACTCTACTCTGCTCTTTTTTTAACAACAATAATAATAATAATAAATGTTTGTTGAGCAGCAAGTCAGCATATTAGAATGATTTCTGAAGGATCATGTGACACTGAAGACTGGAGTAATGATGCTGAAAATTCTGCTTTAAAATCACGGGAATAATTTACGTTTTTAAATGTATTCAAATAGAAAGCAGTTATTTTAAATAGTAAAAATATTTCACAATATTGCAGTTTTTTTCTGTATTTTGATCAAATAAATGCAGGCTTGGTGAGCAGAAGAGACTTATTTAAAAACATTAAAACTCTTACTGATCACAAACTGGTAGTGTATACTAGGCATGCACTGATAGGATTTTTTTTGGGCCGATGCCGATATGAATTTTAACAAACAACTACTGTCCGATTCCGATACCGATACTGATATTGGTCAATTGCATAAAGCAAGGCTTAAAAAGAAATATAAAATCTATCGGTTCACTCCGAGCAGAATCGGTATTTGAGCGTTTCTGTTCCTGCGTTCCTCTCTATTATTATGTTCAGAAACCGGTTTGAGTAGCAAAAATACTGGTTAATAACGTTATTTTTAAAACTTTTTCTTTGCCTAAAATAATAATGATGATAATAATAAAGTACAACGTTTTCTTGTAAAGGCTTTGTTCTTCACTCGCATTATCGGCGTAAAACATCATCCTTCACATCAGCAGTGAGGCGCTGGTCACACTGAACGACGCAGACTGTACAACGCACTATTTAAATTGAGCAGTGTAACTTTTTATGCTGCTTTAACTGTATTTTATTTTGATAATGAACAGGCTGCGATGTTATGTTTCTTTAACTGTATTTTATTTTGCTAATGAACAGGCTGCGATGTCAAATTAGCAAAAATTAGTTGTATGTGTGTGAGGCACCGACGCGATCACTGCATTGTTTTCCCAACTGTTACTTCGTAATTTATGGCCATGCCAACGCTGGTTTCTCATACAGATAGAACCAAAACATCATTCAAAACTGTGAAGCTTTTGCAAAATAGAGAAAAAAACATCTCGGTTTCCTTTCTGCGTTACAGTGTTCCAAACTCAGCACAATTTTTTCTTTCGTTTTGTTAATCTGTTTATGATTTAAGTGAAACATATTTCATGTATATTCCTTTTTATGTAGCCTATATAGTTTTATTCTGTTTTCTCCATTCATAGAAGCACTGCAGGTGCGTGATGTGAGCTTGTGTGAATCCGTGTCCTACATTATCCTGCCATTTTGCTGGTTTCAAACACACAAAAAGCTGCATATAACCTGCCATTCATTTTCACTTAAGTGAAGTGAGTAAGTGAAGTGACATGTGGCCAAGTATGGTGATCCATACTTGGAATTAGTGCTCTGCATTTAACCCATCCAAAGTGCACACACACAGCAGTGAACACACACACACACCGTGAACACACACCCGGAGCAGTGGGCAGCCATTTATGCTGCGGCGCCCGGGGAGCAGTTGGGGGTTCGGTGCCTTGCTCAAGGGCACCTCAGTCGTGGTATTGAAGGGAGAGAGCGCTGTACATTCACTCCCCCCACCTACAATCCCTGCCGGTATGAGACTCGAACCCGCAACCTTTAGGTTACGAGTCCGACTCTCTAACCATTAGGCCACGACTTCCACTTAAACATAGGCCTAATGCTTGGCGGTTCGTGACATATGAACAGCCTTTCATATGCTGAATGTACAGCTGAGCGCGGGCATTTCACTCACTGGATGCGTCAGCGTCATGTTTGCATAGGCCGTACTATGCCGTCTGACAAATTATATTTGGTACAGATTTTATTTTGTTTTGGCAAGTATTTAATTATTTTGCCCAGAGGACAACATTGGATTATGCAACAGACATGCAACTCATTGTCTCCATGCAGTTAATTAATGAACCATCAGTATCGGCCCTTTTCATGCTATTTCCGATATGCCGATGGCTTTATACTAATAAAAAATCGGCCGATAAATATCAGCGGCCCTAGTGTATACTGCAAGTATGTATGAACGTTTCAGATTGTTCTGATTTTCAAATTCTGTCTTCCATAGATAATTAGAGTGAAGCATGCTGAACAGACCAATCTCCAGTCAGAGGCTGCACCTGACTCCCTGATGCCACCAAAACACAAAATAAAGTAAGATTGAGTGTGTTATGTACTTCCTTGACCTGTCTAACAGCTCTTTGTGTCATTGTGCAGATTAACAAATTAACATGCACGTTTCTTTTTTAACTGCGAATAGGGAATATTTCGCAGAATAGTATCTTCACATGAACAAATCACCCTCGCTTTATCAAATTTAGTAATAATTCAATTTCTTGCCATCTCTAAAGACGAAACAAGCGCATACTGGATGAATGAGACACTGATGAGGAGGCCACCACACCCCTAAAAACAATTGCCACAAGCTCCTCAAATACAACCAGGATCCAAAAGGATTTGTTCAGCTTTTAACCAAGTCCTCTAGGACAAAGACAAAACCACCCACTGCAGGCACTGTGGCATCATGAAACACCCAGACCCCAGAGAAAAAATCCTCTCAAGCTGTGACCCATTCATAAGATGTAAGATTTCTCTTTGTTTTCTATCATATATTCGCTGTTAGTGTAAGGCTCATTTCATAGCATGGGTGGTGTGGTAAACCTTCTGATTCCTGTGTTTAATGTTTCAGCACTTCTCTATGACGTAATAACTAAACAAGACATTCTTATGGAGCAGCAAAGGGACATTGGAAGGATGGTGCAAGATCAAGACTTAAGGTCATTAACTTCCCTGCAATGTGATCTTCAATCCTTTCCGGAAACAAGATAAAAAGTGGTAGGTAACAGGTGTCAGTTATGCATGGTTGCATTCTGTTATCACTATAATTAACCCGTTTAATCCCACATTTCTCCCAGACATGAAAATATGCAAATGATGTGTCATTAGTAACCCTTTGAAATAATCAATAATTATTATTATTATTATTTTTGTTTTTAAAGTGTGTGAAAAGTTGTGTTTTATGGTCAGTCACAATTGTGGCCGGTCAAATAATGTGTATACTGATTTAACATATTTCTGCAGTCATCAAAATGTGTGTATATGTATCTCAGCCCGGCTATTTTAAACTGTTTGATCACATTCTAGGGTCACTATTATGCATAAAAAGCCTTATATAACACTGATAGGAATACTGAGATAAAATACAAAAAAATACATGCTTCAATAAATTTCAAAATTGTTACTTTTTTGTAACACATATCATCAATTTTTTTATATTAGTTCTGCCAGTATTACAACATCAATATTGTAACCTACTTGTAACATTTAAACGTTTAATTTAGTGCAATATTTCATCATTGCAACATTTTAGTGCAGCCTTCACTAACAGCTGCAGTTGGATTTATATGTATACCTAAATTCACTGTTATCCCACCGGGTCACAACATGTTTACTCATTCTATGACCACACTCAACAAAACTGAATGATTGTGAGTTCATATATTAATACTAGACACCTTAAAGATAATGTGGATCAAAAATATTTGTCATTTCTTTAACGTACTTTACTAGCCTTTTGTTTCGGAGCTTTGATGCAGCCATCCTCTTTTCAAGGTGCAAACAGGAATTCAACTGCTCTGGTCATGTGACAGTTTTCACTAACCATGTGACACTGCACATATTTAATTGAGACCCTTTATTTTTTTCCATATTTGCAGGAAGTGCACTAAAACATCAGTCAGTAAGGTTTTTAGAGCTTTATAAATGAAAACCTTCTTTACGGTCACTATTGTGACTGGTGGGTTGAATGCAGTGGCGGCTCGTCGGGGGAGGCAGGGGAGGCACAGCTTCCCCATAATTTTGAGGTGAAAATGGGAGGAGGACGATTTAATGTTAATAAAATTCACAATTCATTTCAGTTCATGTCTCAGAATGTGTATTTTTTGTTTGTAATTTCACAGTTGTAATATCATAACGTGAAAGCGCCGCTTTTCTATCGCGAATGTGCCGAATCTGCTGATGTAATTACAACCGCTA